ACAGTTCATCAGTACATGAAGCAACACCCCCAGCAGAAGTCGTGTCGAAGAATCTATTCAGTGGGTGGGATAGAGTAGCCCACGAGTAGCACAGATGTGCCGTTGTCGCGGCTCGAAAGTGCGCGACAATGGCGCTAGGGTCTTACAAAGTCAGCATTTGGCGACTAATCTTAGCATTTGGACGAGTTACGTCGCGCACACCCCATGACACGCAACGTGGATTACGGCGTAGCGGCTAATTCAAATGCACCATGGAGCAGGCAGGTTCGCACAACTCGTCCGGCCCCGCCCCTTTTCTATTTCGAGGGGAATACTTGTATGGACTTCATCGACGGTTTCCTTGGCTTCTTTTTCCTTTTACAGTCACTTTGAATCCACAACTCCATTGACCGCTGTGACACTAGAAATTTGATCCGGGGGTGTTATTTTAATCACCAATTTATAAGTGGTGTCAAAAGCACATTGTTAGGTATCGGTTACTCCTCCCAAAAATGAAAGTGGATGTATTAGTTCGTCGGCCAGTAATGAAGAGTGCAAAGAAAGCTCATTTTGAGCCCCAAGCAAAATTCACGCTGAGCATATAAGTGGGATCGCAACTCATCCATTGGTCGCTCCTTCCTCTTAATATAGCAACATAGAAAAAAGAAAGAAGGTGCCGACCAATGAAAAAGCTGCAATCGCCGATCACTCGGGCAGCAACTTGCAAAGTGGTTTCACATGGTTCTTGGTAGTTTTGCATGCCTTTTCATTACTGGTCGACCAACAACCGTATATTTAGTATTAGCTGCTTCTGTTCGAGCTTCCGAGATTGGTATAGAACCATATATTTCATGTTCGGGCGCAATAATTCACACTTAGGTAATCGCTGATTACGAATTCATAGAAAAACAAGTACCTTAAAAAAAGAACAGGGGAAAAAAGGTAGCCAAACCTCTAGCTGCATCTCTTCAGACGACAGCGTTGTCGCTGTCTCGGGAGATTTCTCCTTACATACCGTCAACCCGTCCCGATCAATTATTGATTGGTCATCATCACTGGCATTCGTGGGCGGCTCTTTGGCGAGCTGTGAGACGGCCTAAAGAGTCGAAACTGAGCAAAGTCTATCATTGCTCAATCGGTGCAAGCCATCTGAGAAGGTGCTTCTATGAGAAGATTCTTATTACTAACTTGGAGGTTCTATTTATTATACTATGACCTCTGAACATTTGCCTATTTCCAAACGGCCAATACAGTTCAATACTTGGGTCAACTGATATTATCCTGCAAGGGCAGGAGGAGTCCAAGCCACCTTATTAATCGGATGTACCTCTGCAGTACCCAAACAATTTTATTCACATCCTCTCGTTGTGACAAATTCGTTTTCTGCTCACTAATGACTTTTCAGGTAACAGCTCAAGCCAAGAAGGACCGTAAAATTACACGATCGTGGGATCGGGCCTCACCAACAAAGGGACTTCATCTCGAGTATAGCAAGGCATGACACCAGATCCACCCCGACAGCAATTCCACTCCAAATAGTATAACATGCCTCTCAAAATACGCAAAAGAAAATGCGTCAATCCAAGGATTGCTGGCAAGCTGGCGCATTCCGAAAGCAGGCAGGACGGCCCTGTATTCTTACCTTTGATGTACAGTCGCTCAATAGTTGGATTGATACGAGGAGGAGAGCCCTCCAATGAGCGTAGACGCCTCTCTGGAGCGTTAACACACACCCATAACGAGCCTGTAGAGGTAAATCTAGCTACGAGAAATATCTAAGGGAGAACGTTTGGCGAAAACTAACCTTTTTCGCCCTCTTTTTTGTCCAGACGTCTGAACTGCTTATTTAGTGACAGGTTATGCCGAACAGAGTTCTGAAAAAAACTATGCATGGTGAAAAGGAAGGCAAGTAATGCAACAATAGTGGAGACAACAGGCGGAACAGAAGGGGCTTTGTCTGGTCATACATCCTTTCGTGATGCGCCATATATTCGGCTCCACAGAGATTCGCTTGGAATTTAGTAGGGCGCTGCTAATCCAAAACATGGCATGATAGTGACAACCGATTCATACGTCAGTGTTTTTAAGCGCTGAGTCTTTGGAAGAAATCAGTGATACCAGATGGATGGAAGCCGATTCGACTTGCGCGATGTTCAATCCGGGAGTCATCCTTCGAATCATGACTACGTTGGCAGCACCATAGGCCGCTGCTCATCCTTATTCGAGGCTTCAAGGCACGGATCGCGCGCCAGCTCTAATTTGCGCTATTCCAGTTTGAAAATGCAAATAAGAGTCCAGTAGGACCGTCAGGAAGAAAAAAAATTGGGTAGACCGCAACCATAGAAAACTTTAAATGGAGGACCTTCTTTCCTTGTTAGCGAGGCCGCGCTACGCCAGAGACACAGTTCTAAGGAGAAAACACATATAGGCGAGAGTATGGCTGTACGAGAGCAGGCACAAACCCCGTATATTGAGGACGTGTAAAAATGGCAGTGATCGCAGCAGTAAAAGCAAGGCCATAGCACCCCGCGCACTTCTCGGTCGCGGCAGTGCCACGATTCTTGTGCTTGGAAGATCCTGCTACATCACCCTTGGAGAGAATTGCTATCGCAATATACGGGTTCAACCTCCAGGACTAAGCCTAGGAGAAGCAGGAGCTTTGGGGAAATGCAAATGGCTAACGCATGGAGTCTCTAACCCCGCCTAGGCTTAGTCCCTTTCCAATAAAAAGACATGTTTCACGCAGTTTCAAATGCACTGCCACCACAGTGCCCCCGTATATTGAGATAGCGCCGAGAATTCCTCGAAGGACCTTATCGCGATCCGTGTCCCTACTAGATATTTTGTGATAAAGGAGCTAGTATAAATCAAGAATCAGCAGCGCGGCTCCCTAGCCATGCTATGTTCGTCCGATCTGTGGATCGAAGGGTTAAGACCGAAACCATCTCTCAAAGTTTAAAACCGAAACCATCTCTCAAAGTGTCTACCTCCATTTCCGAATTTCCTGAGTCGCGTTGTTCCTATCAGAGGAAACCACTCAACTTATAAACATTGGCTATTTACAGCATGCATGACGTCCTTATTTCATAATCACGTCGCCGTCATTCTTGACCGCCCACTTCGCGAGTGTACGCTTTGCTGTGGAAACCGCTGCATCGTTAGTCAATTTAGCACATTACTTCGAACCTCACCAATCTTTATTGAATTTACCAGCTTGTTAATGAATTTTGGTTTTGTTCAGACATTACTTTTCTATAAAAACCAGAGAACCTTTTTGGGCGGCATCCTAAGCCCCCGTACCTTACGGGACCAAGACGGGACAGAAACTTCGTAGAAAATGAAAATTGCTCACGCTTCTGGAGTATCTCCCCTTCACCTGAGGGTTAGTACCGATTTAAGGAAAAAGGTTTATTATTTTTACGCGATTCAAAGCGCTTCCACCATAATGCCCCGTATTTTGCGATAGCGTCCATTTTCGTTGGTAAACCATAGGTAGCAGGAAATGTAGGTTATCATATGAGATTTTCCGAAAGAAATCTTGAGCCTTTTGTTTCAAGTGGGGCCTATTACTACGCGCATGGTCTGCAAATCTCGGATTGACTCTCGCCCCGAGCTTCCAAGCTATAAAGGATCGCTAAAACTCGCTACTTGGCCACTCAGGCTTTGACTGGGAGGACAAAAACACACTTTTGTGTAATGATTTGGCCCACGGGTCGTTGCATGGGCGAAACGATACCCAACTAACACTAGATTCTGGAAGGAATAGAGTTCGTGGCGCACATCAAAAAGCGATTGATCAACGACTGATGCTTTACCTTTTTCCCACTTTCTAGCTGCCATAATGCTCTTTCATCTGGCACGCCTTCTATTAGAGGAAAGATATTCATGTATGAAAAACATTTTGATTGTTTTTGGAAACTTTTGACTACCGTACCAAACAAGTGACTAAAAACAGTGCTTGATATAGATAGAAAACCTACCTTCCAACTGGCATTCCTGTTCTCTCGATAGTACTTGAAGTTATCCATTATATACGTGTAAATTCCATTAAGTGAGCACCTAAACAGTCCTGATAAAAGAGAAGGTTTCGAAGGAAAGAGCACAAAGTGATAGCATGTCATTTTAGGAATAGCATAACTTACTATCTTACGAAAGAGTTCACCCTGCGACCACTTTGAACCCACATAGTTTGGTTATTAGATATTGAAATGGTACATGAACTAATAGTAGTTACAGGTGAGAGATAGGTAGAGTGGCTTGCAGCGTCACTCCCACTTAGCTCGCTATCGGATAGCCCGCGTTAGCACCTATGAACCATCGTTTTGGTCCTATATCTCAACCAATGAGATTTTAGCCGGCCTTAACAATGAGCTATCTTCGGACCTCAACGACTTGTGGTACTAGTGCAGATTCTCAGGGCTCTGTCGACTTTTTATGAATACGGTCGTCTTTTTTTCTTGAATCAAGAGGCGGCTGTTGCGAAAAAATCGTGACCCATCAGAGCTGAAACTGGAGTCGGTAGAGTGTGCACTGGTCAAGAAAGTTCGTGAGAAAATGGCTCAAAATCCGAACGAAACCTTCCAGCTCTCTTTGATTTCTTCGGCGAGCAAGCGACTACAACGATGTTTGCACGTGTTAATCCCGACAGTTGGTAAGAACATAGTCTTTTCATGGATATGCACCTAGAAACCCAAAGATAAGGCCACAGCAGGTGGCTGCTAAAGTTAGGAGCTACCCACATCGCGATGGCAATCCCTCCGCCGCGATAAATGTTTTACTCGCTTCTTTGAG